CTAAACCCTATACCTTAATCCCTAATCCTAAATCCTAAACCCTAAACCCTAACCACAAAACCCTAAACTATAAACCATAACCCTAAATCCTAAACCCTAAACCTTAAACCTAAATCCTAACCCTAAACCCTAAACCCTAAATCGTAAGCCATATACCCTAAACCCTAAACTTTAAATCTTGAACCCTAAACCATAAATCCAAAATCCAAAACACTAAACCCTAAACCCTAAACCCTAAACCCTAAACCCTAAACCCTAAATCCTAAACCCAAAACCCTAAACCCTAAACCCTAAACCCTAAACCCCAAACAATAAACCCTAAACCCGAACCCCTAAACCCTAAACCCTAAACCCTAAATCCTAAATCCTAAATCCAAAACCCTAAACCCTAAACCTAAACACTAAAGCTTAAAGCCCAAATCCTAAACTCTAAACCCTAAACCCTAACCCTTTACCCTAAACCCAAAACACAAAATCCTCAACTCTAAAACCTAAACCTTAACCCTAAACTCTAAACCCAAAATGGTAAACCCTAAACCCTAAACCCTAAACTCTAAACCCTAAACCCTAAACCCTAAACTATAAACACTAAACCATAAATTCTAAAACCTAATCCCTATATCCTAAATCGTAGCCCTAAACCATTAATCCTAAACCCTAAATCTAAACCCTAAACCCTCAACTCAAAACCCTAAACCCTAAACCCTAAACCCTAAACCATAAACTCTAACTCTAAACATTAAATCCTAAACCCTCTATTTTAAACTTGAAACTCTAAACCATAACCCTAATTCCTAAACCCTAAATCCTAAACCCTAAATCCTAAAATTCTAAACTCTAAACCCTAAACAATAAACCCTAAATCCTAAAATTCTAAACTCTAAACCCTAAACCATAAACCTAAATCCCTAAACCCTAATCCCAAAACCGTAAACCATAAACCAAAATGCCTAAACTCTAAACACGAAATCCTAAGCCCTAAATGCTAAACACTAAACCCTAATCCCTAAACCTAAATCCTAAACCCTAAACCCTAAATCCTAAACCCTAAACCCTAAACTCTAAACTCTAAACCCTAAATCGTAAACCGTAAACTGTAAACCCTAAATCCTAAACCAAAAACCTTAAACCATAAAACCTAAACCCTAATCCTAAACTCTAAATCCTAAATCGGAAACCCTAAACCCTAAATCCTAAACCCAAAATCCCCAACCCTAAACCCTAAACCCTAAACCTAAACCCTCAACCCTAAACACTAAAACCTAAACCCCAAACCCCAAACCATAAACCCTAAACCATAAACCCATATACCCTATACCACATACCCTAAACCCAAAACCCAAAACCCTAAACCCTAAACCCTAAACCCTAAACCACATACAGGTAATAATATTGTAATCAAACTTGACATGACCAAGGCATATGATAGAGTGTCTTGGTCATTTACTTGTTTGACACTTAGGAGATTTGGTTTTGGGGAGTTATTCATTGATTTAGTGTGGAGAATAATGAGTAACAATTGGTATTCTGTAATCATTAATGGGCATCGACATGGTTTCTTTCATTCCACTAGAGGACTTAAGCAAGGAGACCCTTTATCCCTTGCCCTATTTATTTTAGGAGTAGAAGTATTGACTAGGTTGCTTAATTCACTACATCAGAATACTAATTACAGAGGTTTGTTTATGGAACCTAGAGGACCCCAAATTAATCACTTGAGTTTTGCAGATGATGTTATTATTTTTGCATCTACTGATAGACATTCCGTGAAGCTTATTATGGACAGGTTAAGGGAATATGAAAGTACCTCTGGCCAGCTTATCAACAAAGCAAAGAGTCATTTTATGGTTCTTGATAATACAGCACAAGACATCATCCATACCATTAAAGAAGTGACTACTTTTCACGGAAAAATAGTCCTATTATGTATCTAGGATGTCCTCTTTATATTGGTAGACAAAGGATCATTTATTATTCTCATTTAGTGGAGAAAGTTTGCAAAAAAATGTGTGGCTGGCAGGCAAGAGTACTTAGTTTTGGGGGCAGGATTACATTGATCAAACATGCCTTGCAATCTATACATATTCATACTATGGCTGCCCTTTCTCCCCCCAATACTACTATTAAATACATTGAGACTATCATTGCTGATTTATACTAGGGAAGGGATCAAAATAAAAGGAAATATCACTGGGCATCTCTAGACACGATGAGCTTACCATATACAGAAGGTGGGGTAGGGATCAGAAGGATGTCAGACATTTGCACTTCTTTACAATACAAACAATGGTGGAATTTCAGGTCTAAAGTATCTCTATGGAGTAAATTTCTTAAAGCCAAATATTGCCAAAGAGCACATCCAGTGGCAAAAAAGGTTGATACAGGAGATTCATTGATGTGGAGATACATGATGAAAAACAAGTTTCAAGTCGAGGAGAATATAGGCTGGAAAATCAAATCAGGAAGTTGATCCTTTTGGTAGGATGACTGGCTAGGATGG